GGCATGTGTTGAGTGTCGCCAGATAGTTTCAGCGGGCCCTTGCCGGCTCACATATGAGCTGGTTATCAGGCCCCGCAATTACAGTAACTCCGCGACCTGCGTTCAATTGTCTCCGGTCATCGAAAATGCTGGACGGCTTGTGGTTTGCAATCTTCTGGCTCTGCCACTGCATTGGTTATGTCACGTCTGCACTGCAGCATTGCAGAGGCATGATAGCAGCAAGAGCAAGGCCTTTGTAATTATAGGGTAAGGAAATGAAAGCAGAGGACATAGCATCAGCAGTCGTCGTCGTAGTAGCGGCAGTAGCATCAGTAGCATCAGTAGCAGCAGCAGCAGCAGTGGGAGCAGGAGTCATAGCAGTAGTAGTAGTGGTAGTGGTAGTGGCAGTGGCGGTGGCGGTGGCGGTGGCGGTGGCGGTGGTAGTGGTGGTGGTGGTGGTAGTAGTAGTAGTAGTAGCGGTAGCACTAGTAGTAGTAGTAGTAGTAGCAGTAGTAGTAGTAGGAGTAGGAGTAGTAGTAGTAGCGGTGGCACTAGTAGTAGTAGTAGTAGCAGTAGTAGTAGTAGTAGAAGTAGAAGTAGAAGTAGAAGTAGTAGTAGAAGAAGAAGTAGTAGAAGTAGTAGCACTAGTAGTAGCACTAGTAGTAGCACTAGTAGTAGTAGTAGTAGTAGTCGCAGCAGCAGCAGCAGGAGGAGTAGTAGTAGTAGTTGTAGTAGCAGCAGCAGCAGCGGCAGCAGCAGCAGGCAGCCAACAGTGGTAGCAATATCTGTAAGAAAGCCAATCATCAACATACCGGCAACAGTAGTCATAGCGGTAATGGCAAAAGTCATGCCAGCAATGTCGCACTGATTTCACCATAGCTGCAGTAGCAGCCACTGCAAGTGTGAGTAGTAAGTAGTAGAAGCAACTGCAACGCTTGTACGTCAACAGCTCTCCTGGCCACAGTGGTAGCGGCTAACGGTAATGCTCGTTGTGTCATCAGGTAGCAGCTTTGATGGCAGCAGTGCTAGTAATGAAGCAGTAATGGGAAAGTCGCACCAGCGGTAATTCTCGCAAAAGTACACCTTGTTCTGGTCTCAAATCACCTTCCAAGCGAGCCTGCGTGGCCTACAGCCGCACTCTGAGGTCCCTTTGGGTGCCCTCCGCCGTGTAAGGGAGCTGGGCCGCGGCGGCTTCGGGCGTGTGATCGAGGAAGGGGTGCGTCTTTCTCGTGAAGTTTTATGAGGGTCTTAGGAGCTCAGAGCTCTGGTGGCTCTAGTGGGTTCATAGGATTCTGGGATTGGGGTAGGGCTCGGGGCATAACAGGGATCCTGCTTCTTAGGGTCGGTGTGGGGTCCCGAGTTTCGAGCGCGAAATTTAGAAACTCAAGCCGAGCACGGCTTGAGAAGGAGCCGAAGTCAACAAGCTAACCGTAGAAGCGAAAGATCTGCGCGGACCATCCATCTATCTGTCTATCTATCCATTTGTGTATCTGTCCATCTATCGTGTACCTACATGCAGAGAGAGAGAGAGAGATATGCCTGGATGGAGATTTAGGTAGATGATGGATGTATCCAAGGCCGAAAAGCCGCCCTGAATTTGGCAAAAGTTCCCTAATCCCGAAACTGGGTCAGGTGGAGCTACCGAGAGATGCTGCAAGCAGTATTTGGCGGCGGCCGGTGCGCACCCAGAGGCCGGCAACAGGTTTGATCTACGATTGATGTGGACTTGATGTAAATGGCTCTGAGCGGAGGGAACCGGACGTTTATAATTACTTGGTACAAGCTTTCAGCATGCGTGTGGGTTTCTGTGAGCGAGACTACGGGCTGCCACATGTGGCGGTTCACTGGAGGCTTTCGGCTGAGGAGGTAGCATTGATATCTCAAATATCGCTGTGTTGTGAAAACAGCCGTCGACCGGGCTTGAAACCGAAAATGGTTACGACCTGTGAGTCAGTGAAGACGCTTGAGTATATCGGCAGCTGTGAAGAGGCGCTAGCCGCTAGTTGCTCCGCAAAACTCTGTTTCTGTCAAGAGAGCCTGAACGAAGGTTGTCACTATCCACAATACAGATATTTTGGCGAAGTTGCTTTAAGGGTATCTTCAAAGCAACCTGCTTTTCATTGCCTGGTGCTCTAGCAGGTTCGCACTGAAGTTGCAGCTGAAGCAAGACCACCGTCAAGCATCTTCGGAGGCGCTATCTCAAGAATTCCATGATTGCGTTGAAGAGAGCCTCAAACCCAATCCGATTATTCCTGCTGTCAGGAACCGAAAGCATGATCATGCTTGCGACAGTCTTGTCAGTGTACATGCCACGCTCGAACCTCCCCCACAAGGCTTAAAAAGACAACATCCGAAAGCAAAGCCGATAGCTCCAGTTCCAGGAAGTTGAGCTTTGTGGGAGGGGCTGCTTAGAGTCTAGAGATTTCAGATGCAAGACTGTTTGCCCTTGTCCGCAGCCAATGGCTGAAGCGATAGCATGCGGAGCCGATGACACTGCTTGGACTTGAACGACCTGCGCGGGTCATGAGTCCGAGCTCGAGAGTCATGTTTGGTGTCGGGATCACTGGCTACTCATGGCGAAGACTTCCCAATGCCAAGCAAGAGGTCGAATGCCTGGGCAGAAGCTTTGGCTGCCGAGGGTATGACTGCTACATACAGCTGGATGCCGAAACGAGCGATGATGTCAGGAAGTTCTTGGGGGATCTGCAAGTCAGTGAGTTTACAAAAGTACTTTGCGGCTATGTGGCAGCTCACGGAGTTGAGACCGATGGCAAAGTGCGTATCTTGCTGATGTCAAGTACTAATGAGCAGGATGCTGATGCCCAGCACTGGGTGACCGTTGACGACTTGTGCAACATGCTCCTTGGCCTTCGCTGCTCCGAAGATGCAGATGTCTATCTTCTCCTGAACTTCTGCCGTTGCCAAGTGACTACGTCTTGCATGGAACAGACCGGTCATGTACATACCAAGCGAAAGTCACTGTCCCGCAAGATACACATCATATGGGCATGTGCATCTGGGCAGGCGGCTCTTGAAGGCACGCCGGGGGAGTTCAGTCCATTTGCGGACGGCTTGATGAAACTGTTGCAAGAAAATCGCGACTGGTCCTTCCAGGATCTTTTCAACGAGTTGCAACCGGCAGTGTCTACTCTAAGCAGGGCCGCATGCAACGGCTTCCTCCGACCCCAGCAGGTCACGCTGACACAATCCGCCGCAGCTTCGCACGATATCTTTACTGCCGACGCCAAGCCGAAAGCCCCACGATTAGTTGGCGTACCGGCAGCAAACGAAGCCTTTACGGGCAGAGCAAGGGAGCTGGAGCTCATACAGACCACCTTCAACAAGGCATCAGGTCAGTGTGCCATCGTGCAGACGCGTGCCATAACCGGGTTGGGCGGCATTGGGAAGACCCAACTCGCCAAGGCTTTCGTGTACCTGCACCAGCACATGTACGATGTCGTACTGTGGATTGATGCAGAGCGTGATTTGGCAACAAGCTTCAGGAGCTGTGCAGCATCTTTGGTTGAGCTGGGCCCTGACCTCACACCAATGCAAGTAAAAGCGAAGTTGGACGACCACCTTCGTCAGTACAAGCATTGGCTGATAATCTTCGACAACGTCTAGAAAACAGCTGATATCGAGCCGTACCGTCCCGCCGGTACGGGCCACGTCCTCATTACCTCGCGATATCAGCTGTGGGACAAGGGCAGCACAGTGGAACTGGGCAGGCTTGCACGAATCGATGCCGTCGTTCTGCTGTACAGGAAGATCGTCAGTGATGATGCGGCCGCCATGGACACGGCAAAAGCACATGTGAGGGACTCGTTGCTGCCCTGGGACAGCCAAGACGCAGCAGATCGCTCAGCGCAGCCACCTGCTTGTGTACCAACAAACGTGGTGCAATGCTGGGATCTTGCAGTTCTTCTCGACGACTTCCCTCTCGCGTTGGTGCAGGCCAGTGCAGCAATTCGATTCTTCGGCTTTGCAATCCACGATTACTGCGAAGAGTACAGGACTGCATACAGCAGTTTGCAGAAAGAAGAGGAGGACTCTCTCGATCCTGGCTACGCAGATGGGTACAATCGCTCGGTGCATGCAACACTGAAGATCATCCTGTCAAAGCTTGCCCAGCGAGACATGGACCACACCTCGGCTTCGGAAAGAGTGTCGCAGCTGAAGTCGTCAGCTTTGGGTGTGTAAGCATTTGGCAACCTTTTGCAATTCTTCTCTCCAAGGTGTTGGGTGGAGTGGCGTTGCTCGATGCAGCGATTATTCCACACAACCTCCTTTTCGCATTGGTCGAGGAGATGTGCCCGGAGCTGACATCAAATGTCCAGAAGCTCGGTGTGCTCGGCAATCTCTGGCGATGTTCGCTGATCTCACGCTTGACTGAGGCCACTAGACCTGAGCTAGCTGTGAGTGTGATATGTCTGGGGCAGACTTGGGAACTCACTCAGGACCTGCTTGATAAGAGCACGAGCCGGAACTGCCAGCAGGACGGGAAACGCTTATTCAGATACAGTATCGTCTTGTCTTGGGTGAGGGGTTTGCAGGATGACTGTGGTGTTGCCCCATCAAACTCTGCGATGCCCTGCGAAGGACTACACTGTCCACCGTGTGGTGCAGCAGTTCGTACTCTGTCAGATGGACCAGAACAGCCGGCATGAGGCAACGATAACCTTGTCAGTCAATCGCAAGACAGCTGTTCCAGACACATTCACATCTAAGACTATACAATTCCAGTATGCAAGGGGTCTCAAGGGTGGGTCCGCCGTGCATGTGCCATGAGGCCGTTCATCGAGTTTCCAAAGTCCTGAACTCGCTCTTGAAGCGCAGCCTGCACGAGTCACCGGAGACGGTGAAAGGCAACAGACTCCTGCTGCCGCACGTCCGGGCACTGACAGCCAGTGATAAAGACGTGCGAGAGCTACAAGATCGCGACCCCATTGTACTGGGAAACTTGCTGTGCCTGGCAGCAGATTTTTACGTCCATGAGCAGCGTGACCGCAAGACAGCCAAACATTTCCTCGACATGGCAGATCGCCACCGCCCATCCGCGACATCTGATGCGATGCTACAGCTTTCAGTAAGGTTGCACGGTTTACAGTGCGTGTTCAAGGAGAACCTTGAGGACAATGTTGCTGAAGCAGAGAGCCATTTGTTGCTAGCCTTGCGTCTGTGCCCTTATCAGTCGCCACTACGGGCAGAGTTACTCCACTTGAAAGGAAACCTGAAGTACAGACAGGATAAATTCCGGGAAGCTCAGCGCTACATGGAGGAGGCACTCGAGATGAAAAAACAACATCCATCCGATTACAATCAAGCTTCGCTGGCTTATTCGGAACATGGTCTAGGCAATGTGTATGCAAAGATGCACCAGATCTTCCGAGCAGACACAGCTTATGCGCACGCAATTGAAAAGAAGGTTTCCTTCTATCGCTGCGAGGATCATCTGGACGTTGCGCGCAGCCAGTGCAGGCAGGTGAAAAACATGCTCGATCAGAGGTTGATGTCAACAGCCGAGCACACGAAGGCATTTCAGCTGATGATAAACGTGGTAACGGTCTTCGAGAGAGACTTAGACGAAGAGCACTACGAGGTCATCAATGCCAAGAGTATCAAAAGTCGAGTTCAATCATTCTTGGTAGCAGAAGCCCCGGCTGCAGCCCCGGCAGGGTCAAGTCTTTGTTACTTGGCCCCTTGCATCCATCCCCGTGCAGTTGGCGCACCGCAAAGCCGATTCTACTCTAAGCTTGCACAAGTGCCACTCCGAGATCTCGAGTTCATGAAGGCCTTTGCCCCTTCTGAGAAGTTTCAGAAGCGACTGGCAGACCAGCTAAAGGACAGCTTTCTGCGCCAGGCACAACAGTTCGAGAAGGACGGGCTTCTAATCTTGCCATCTTATTTCCAAGGCTGCCTGGAAAAGTGGCGAGATTGGTATCAACACACGATGGAACGTGTTGGCTCGTCCCAGCCAACGTTGCACATGCAAACCTTTACGGCAACTTCTCACACGAGTGTTGAGCTGAGCAATGATGTGCAGGCTGCCGTTGCGGATCCCTACCTTCTGGCGCTGCTTGCATACGCTGCTGGTGGCAACATTCAGTTGTCAGATTTCCGTGCAGCGACCACACATCCAGGTGGCCATTGTTACAGCCATGCCGAAACTGCAGTAGCGATGAGTGCGAGCGAATGTCAGGGTTTTGTCTTGAACGAAAGTCAGGGCGGCCAGTTTCGTGCCACTTGCAAGGGATATAGGTAGTCTGCTGAGCAGTAGTGCAAAAACTGCCCCTCAGGTGAAGATATTCTATTTCGTGCCTGGAAATGGCACCGAGATGGCGGCAAAGAGCCGGAGTGGAAGTTGATGGTTCTTCTGGATGATGTTGCTCCTGGAGGCAACGAGATGCACTACCTTAAGGGATCCATGCGTCGTTGGAAAGGCTCCCGACAGAAAGATGCTAACTTTTCCATGGAAGACGCTTTGCACATTGCCTCTGGTGGTTCCAAAGTGCTGCCCGGAATAACACGGTGTTTTGGTCCTGCGGGTACAGTTATACTTTTTGCAGGACAAGGGCTGCACAGGGCAACACATTCAGAGCTTGCTGAGCGCAGGGTTGTCACATTTCGCTTCAAGCGAAATGTTCCAGGGTTGGCCCGCATCTATCCACTGGACGTTGTCAAGCAGGACCAGCTATGCTCCTCCAACATATTGGTCAGATCTATCTTGGCTCGTGGCAGCGGTGAGTCGCTTGGCTAATTGTCGGAAAGAAGGTGCGGCTCTTTGATTCTATTCTACTTCCTCTTTGGGTGCGTGCAGACGTGCACTCTTAGTCTGGTGGCCGTCCCTCTCACCAGCTGTGCTGTGTTCGCATGGCCATGCGGAGTGGAGTTGCTCAGCACAGGAAGGATAGAAAGGAAAGTCGCCAAACAGAAATAAACATGATGTCTAAGGGGTACAACTCTCCAGCGCTATAGGTGATGCATGCAAACAACTTACCTTAGTCATCAAAGTATAGCCGGACTGCGACTTCTTGCGTTTCGATAAGTGCACTTGCCTCTGGATTTTCTGTCTGAACACATGCGCTCTTTGACCTTTCTTCTTGTTGTGCGCTGTTAGCGGCCTCCCGTCTCATGGACGTTCCCAGGCACAAGACTTCGACAGTGGCTGTCCACAGCATGAAGTCATAGCTGAAGTCGGGAGTATTGAACATTGGTAGGGGACCTCGGCATCTATGCTCGCAGAGAAGTCGCACCTAGCTGCCCACTTTCAGTTCTTGCCAAGGTTGCTGGCCAGCAGTGAGGAATGCAGATTCATCGTCGAGAAATCGTCGAAGCAAAAGCTGGTTCAATGTGAGCAAGACACGAGTCCACAAGAGACTGCTTGTTTGCTCGATGCCTACAAGGAGATGAAAACACTATCTGACTTGAAGCCCAGAGTTCGCTCAGCAGAGTTGGCAGAATTGCACTCCAAACTGCTTGAAATTTT